GTTTTTCCACTAAAGCACCCGGGTACGAGGCCGCTCTTGTACCCGAGGGCTTCGCCCGAGGGATATATCTTCCCGAGGGGGTAATATTTCGTCGAATTCCCCGAGCGGAAGGTCTATAAATTATATATTATATCGCAACAACGTGTGGGTGAAATGGCTTCTTTTGCCTCTATTTTTGAAATTGTTGACAACCTCGAGTCGTGTGCGAGGCATCCACGCGTGGTACACGCAAACTCGAATACCCCGCTGCAGCGGGGTATTCGACTTTTATAGCATAATGTGAAAAAATTCGATGGACTCCATGATTAATTTACTGATCACGTGGTACAAATCGAACTTTCTGATTGGATGATTTACAGTTGAGATATAATATTATAAGTTATTAACCCTCCATGCATTTACGGCAATGCAGCAAACGCTGCCATCGCTCCTTTGTGATATAGGAACGTTTCCGAATATAAGACTAAGTCACTAAAGGGCTGCTACGTGAGTCCGGTTACTGAGGTTATTTAGTGAAGCGTAAAATGTTCTTTGAGGTATTGAAATATGTCTTTTTGAAACAAAACAGGCACATGCTATAATTATTGTTAGGATAACTACACGACTACCAGGATCATGTTATGTACTCATTTCAATACCTGAGAATCCATTTTACGCTTCCGGAAACGGGCTCATGTGAACAGCCCTTAATAAATACTTCATTTTCATCAGCATTTTATTCACAATCTTTCACAAATCATCTCTATATATCCGTCTGCATCCAATGTTTGCATATGAGTTCGTATTTACATTTGATCCAAAGCTTTGTGCATGTATGTCAACAGTCTAATTTAGCATATACCTGATAATATGTGCTAAAGATAACAATATAAATAATTTGTTATTTACCTAGTGTCAAAATTTCTCTTTTCTGCTTTCCTATTGGCCAAGAGATCCACCCTGCCGATATTGCTTCATATTCTAATCTATACAGGTAATGTCCAGGGATTGGCTCTTCTTTGGCCTCCAGTTTATTTTCATTTTGACAGCAGTTACTGACTGACAGCACTTACTTACTTTGACAGCACTTACTTACTGACACCTAGAAAACGCAGTGTGTTTTGTTGCCCCGAGACCGCTATGCTGTTAGCAACAGCGGTCTCGGGTTAGCAAAACACACTGTTTCCCTCGGCGTCAGTACAAAAGTATCAATTGTCTAGGCTAAATGTTGAGTTGATAAATGGGTTAAAAATAATTCACAAAATATGTAACAGCCAATATTTTACAGGACGTGACGTGACATATGAGAAGTTTTGAAGGAGTAACATATCGCTTGCGAACTGAAACCTCATCAGCAGATCAGGCGCTGTGAACTTATTCTTGTCTAAATTTAGGAAATAATAACGTGGGCATTTCTACCTTAAAAACTTCGCGGATTACAGTATTAGATGTTCGAGGTGATTTAATATTTGTACACGGAAGTGCCACACACAAGACCTCCCGGCTTGTGTCAAGTATACTTAATTTTGGAAACATGCGTCATTCAAGTACAATTGAAAATCCCCACGTAGAAATCAGCTTTTACGGAGAAAACTATTGCGGTACAAACGCTTACAAGTTACAACGGTTGTGAAATAATTCTGCAACAGTTGTAAATATCCAATTTGGTTGAAAAGAGATTTACGTGCGGAGTTGTTGTGAAATTTAATAACCGAGCAACATCAGTAAAAATATAATTAACGGATAAACGAGAACAACATGGCTTTGATGTACGCTTGGCAGCGTTATTTTGATGCCAGTTGTACTGTAATGATTCTTGCAACGATCTTCAACTCAAGTATTGCAGGTAACATCAGGGAGTTTCTAATTTCTGTTATACTGTGTTTTCTGGCAGCTTAATTTACACATGTATAATTATAACGCTCGCTGTGGCCCAGGCTTTGATGTGTCGCTATCGGTTCAGCGTTGTGCGTTATGCCTTTTGGACTGAGTTGTGGAAAGTTTCACGAAAAGGGCCGTGAAAGAGCATGCACCTAGAATGAGGCTTTTAAAGACGCTTATGACGTTTGTCGAACGATGTGATTGTTTTATATATATTCAAATTCAAGCTAGGAACAGTTGATGGAATAATGCGTCAACTATATAGGTCCTCCGGCAGGAAGGATTTATATATACTTCATATCAATATAATTCTACTTGACCGCGGTGGGAATCGAACGCGCGACCTTCAAATTTTTAGAATGATGCTCTACCGTCTGAGCTACAAGACCAAGTTGGGAACGACACTTGATTTTTACTTAAGTTGTTATTGCATTACGGAGTTTCGTCCTTAAATGTCGTTGTGCAGTTAATTCTGCAAATGTTCATATATGTGTGTTTTTATTCTATTTGAGCCATGCATGTGTTCACTTGTGGATATATATGTCAGGTGTGTGTTTTATATGTCCACATGCATAAATATACCCACAAGTGAACACAAATAGAGTAAAAACACACATATATAGATACTCAAAATCTAATTAAAATTGCATATGTTGTGTAATATGATTGAAATCCCATGCAAATGCAATCATAAGCAATTCTAATTTGATTTCGAGTATCTATCTATATCTATTTGCGGCCAACGTTTTTGCAAATAGGTGCATGTGTATAAATATATATATATATATATATATATATTATATATATATATATATATATATTATATATGTATGTATATATATATATATATATCAAGCAGAAAATTCTACTTGACCGCGGTGGGAATCGAACCCGCGACCTTCGCATTTCTAGAACGATGCTCTACCGTCTGAGCTACAAGGCCAAGTTGGGAACGACTGTTACTTAAGTTGTTATTCACATTACGGAGTTTTGTCCCTACGTGTCGTTATGCAGTTATACTTGTGTATATGTTCTTTCTACACAAGTATGCACTTATACTTGTGTAGAAAGAACATATAAAACACAGATCACATATAACCCCACAAGTGAACACATGGCTCAATTAAGAGCAAAGTACAAATATATCAACATTTGCAGAAGTAACTGGATAACGACACGTAAGGACGAAACTCCGTAATGTCAATAACAACTTAAGTAACAGTCGTTCCCAACTTGGCCTTGTAGCTCAGACGGTAGAGCATCGTTCTAGAAATGCGAAGGTCGCGGGTTCGATTCCCACCGCGGTCAAGTAGAATTTTCTGCTTGCCCGGTTGGTTATACTTGTTCATATTTTTTATATATATGAACAACAACATGATGAACGAAATCATTGAAGCATTAGAAATCAAGAAACATATAGGCAATTTGATAAAGCAAGGATGCATTGGAAGAACGATTTGCATATAACATTGCTTTTCAAATTAGTTTATTTAGTATTACGGGATATTTTGTGTATAAATGGGGGATAGATTATCTGATATGTTATTAGTCCACTGAAGAAGCCATAACTGGCGAAACGTCTGGAGTATTTAATTGTATATTAAAGAATTTTAACTGTTCCTGTAGAAGTTTCTTTTTGTTTCACTCTCATATATATATATTATATATATATATTTATATATTATTCACTAAAAATCTTATGAAGTAAACCAAGTTTATTTTAATTTATCTTTATACTAACTCTATACTTTGGTATATCGAGCACTCTACTCATATATGTTTCTAAATACATATTAAAATATATATATATATATATATATATATATATATATATATATATATATATATATATATATATATGTATGTATATATGTATATATATATATATATATTATATATATATATATATATATATATATTTTTTTTTTTTTTTTCTGACATACTTAAAAGTTCCGTTTCAGTCGCGTACAGTTCGTCTTTGCGCTACAGAAACCATAAGAAGTCAATTAAAAACGAACTGTACACAACTGAAACGGAACTTTCTAAGTATGTTTGGAAACTGAAAAGAAGCGAAAGAAAAGTGTGTGTGAAATGGTCAATATTGAAACAAGCCATCCTAAGATCTCCTGGAGCTCCACGATGTGGTTTATACTTTGCGGAAAAACTGTGCATAATACGTGCAGATGAAAATAAATGTTTAAACAAGCGCTCTTAACTGTTTTTAAAATGCTGCCATAGGAACAAGTTTAATGCCGGAAGTTTTAGGTGCGCGCACAAGCATTAGCGCGTGAGAGACGAGTAACCGTTGATGCATGAAGTAATCAAATACAGGGTGTATCAGAAAAAACTAGAAGATTTTAAAATGTTCAGAAAACTATCATTTTATCAAGATATCTCAAAAATATATTTACGTCTAAGTATTTTAGCATCTTCTGGCTTATCTAAGAGTAAAAACTAGCAGAAAAATTAACCTCGAAAAGCGGGAGAACGGTTTGTAAAAGCTTCATTTTTAACCGCTTGTGCAAAGAAAATGAGACGTTCAAAATCCAAGTTCAGTTAAAGAGGTGAAAGTTTGGAATCTTTTGTGGAATGTATCGCAATTTCAAAAAATTTGATAAACATTAGGTCCGCCGCGAAACGTTTCAAAATTGGATTTTTTTCCCCGTTTACTCTGCTCTCTCGTAACTTTTTACACGCAAGAATGATTACATGCATGAGTGATAGTTGGAATGACGTACTTAAACATAACAAACAATGAATACTCTTGTTTTATTGTTTTCATTTAACAAAGAGTGCTCGTAATTACGTCATTCCAACTATCACTCATGCATGTAATCATTCTTGCGTGTAAAAAGTTACGAGAGAGCGGAGTAAACGGGGAAAAAAATCGGCGGACCTAATGTTTATCATATTTTTTGAAATTGTGATACATTGCACAAAAGATTCCAAACTTTCATCTCTTTAACTGAACCGTTCTCCCGCTTTTCGAGGTTAATTTTTCTGCTAGTTTTTACTCTTAGATAAGCCAGAAGATGCTAAAATACTTAGACGTAAATATATTTTTGAGATATCTTGATAAAATGATAGTTTTCTGAACATTTTAAAATCTTCTAGTTTTTTCTGATACACCCTGCATTGTATTGAATTTTTGCCTCGGAGCACGTTCTTCATTTAGTCGCTAGTCGCTGAAGACTTTCCGCCATCTTTGTTTTGTGACACTTCACCTGGAGGGAGAAATGACCCCGATGCAATACCTCAGATAAAAAGCTTTTTTTATGGAACAATGGAATCGGGGAGACGGAAAGCAGAGGGAACAGGATAGAAAAATTCCACAAAACGTGAAACAAAATTTTAAACCAAGCAAGCTTTTCCCTGACTTCCCTGTTTTTCGTTTTTACTGTTCCTCGATTTTATAGATATCCAGTCCTAAAAAAATCATTCGTGCTCACTCGTGGTCATCCGTGGTCATCGGTGGTCACTCGTATTTACTTTTACACAAAAATTAGTAGTTCTAAAAAGTACATACGAGTGAACCACAAGTGACCACGAGTGACAACGGATGGATCACGAGTGACCACGGATGGACCACGAGTGACCACGGATGGACCACTAATGGCTACGAGTGACCACGGATGGCGCGCGCATTGTGGCTTTACTTATGCCAGGCTCGCACAATATGAAAATGGAAGGCAAATGAAAAGACTATAGTCTAAAAGCTAATATTTATAGCAATACAAAGCGACTGGCCTCTGTAAAAGTCGAAAATTCGAATATGATGCAATACACTATCAATAGGTCGTGAAATACGTTTTTTGTATTAATTCCATTTAAAACAATTTTCCAATTCGACACCAGAGGAAATTAGCTGTATCGAAGATAATGCAACAACTCATCCTTCACTGTTCACTCCATTTTTTGTAGATAGACATCGTCTTCAAGACAGCGATAGCAACAGGTAAAAGTAGTTTCGTTCTTATTTCCAGCATTCATTGTAAGTGCATGCATTTAACTGAATTGTTTATAGAGAGAAAGCATACTTGTTGAAAATCACGTCTCGTGAAGAATCCCGTTTATCTTAAGCCTAGTCGTAAATGTCATGAACAGGTCATTTTCACCGATTAGAATTAGTCCGGATGTGGAAACCAGGCATTAGTAGCAGTGGCGTAGAGGAAGCACTATATAACTGAGGGGGGGGGGGTCATATAATATATGAATAAGTCCCCCCCCCTCAATAGATTACTTCTTATTTAGAACATGTATTCCTGCTGAAGCTGAGCCGATACTGAACTCAAGTTCGTGTTACCCTTTGGTCAATTTCACCCGGCCTTTTTGTGAAAATCATGGTATTATGTTACCAAAGTACGTTTATAGAACTCCGGATTATCAAATTGATAAAAACGAGGAAATGAATAGAGCTGAAAAAAGAGCTAAAAGGCTGGGCGAGTCAAAGATTCGAAGTTGGTTCAATATCAATATCAGTAAAATGCAACAATGTTTTCGCATTCTTAGTATATCTCTCTGTCATTTCATTTATCCGATTTGCGACCAAACGCAAAGCGTCTATCAAGAGCAAAAAATTTGCCGCGAAACGTATTTTAACATTAAACGCATATGCCATGACATTGTGGAATTATTTATAAAATATGATATAAATCGCTATCCCGAGAGAAAGAAATTGACCCGGGGGGAGCTGCAACCATACAGGAATGCTGGTGACTCGCCAGAATGCTGGTACGAAGATTTTGAAGACTTGACAGGTAATTTGATTACAACAAGATTTAAGAGTGCACAAGTTTAAATTAAAGTGATTTGTTCATTGACGTGAATTGAAAAACAAAACACTTTCACATATGCGACGTTACAACCGCCAGAAAGGTCAAGGAAAACTCATTTTTTCACTTTTTACCGCTCAGTCTGTTCATAATTTCGTTTAATTCAAACGAAATACTTTACAGAAAAATTTCCGTTGGTTCAAAGCTGAAATAATCCTAGGCCGGTTGATCGAAGCCACAGAATTTTTTCTAACGGCGCCGGCCACTGATCCTATTTCGTAAAAGTTGAGTTTAGTGAAAGTTGAGTTTAGTGAAAGTTGAGTTTAGTGAAAGTTGAGTTTAGTGAATGTTGAGTTTAGTGAAAGTTGAGTTTAGTGAAAGTTGAGTTTAGTGAAGGTTGAGTTTAGTAAAAGTTGCAGGTTGAGTCTAGTGAAAGTTGAGTTTAGTGAAAGTTGAGTTTGGTGAAAGTTGAGTTTAGTGAAAGTTGAGTTTAGTGAAAGTTGAGTTTAGTGAAAGTTGAGTTTAGTGAATGTTGAGTTTAGTAAAAGTTGCAGGTTGAGTCTAGTGAAAGTTGAGTTTAGTGAAAGTTGAGTTTAGTAGTTAATGTTAGCCTTGAAATACGATTTCTCACTTTTCGATTTTTTTCAGTTTCCAACCAGCGTTAATTTTGAGGAAATATATTTCCCTCTATTTCACCTCCGAGGAAAATACCCAAGTATAATCAACAATGAAATTTTTTTTTGTCAGTCAGTTTATATAATCGTTACACAACATTAAATGTAAAGTTGTTAGAACATGCGTGGTCATATATATTTATTGCAACAATGAACAGTAATATTCAGGGCCGAAACTAGAACGATAATTGGGGGGGTGTTTATTCATATATTCAGTTCTGCCCGACGGATTTCCATTGTGAGCTTTTGCACTTACAAAAGAAATCCGCAGGGCAGAACTGAATATATGAATAAACAACCCCCCAATTATCGTTCTAGTTTCGGCCCTGGTAATATTTCATCTGCTCTACGACTCTGAGATGAGTTACAATTTTTTCTGAATCTCTGATTCTAGATACATCTCCGGAAGTTGGATCGGCAGCCATTCTGGGTAAGCATGCATACATGAGCATGCACACATATTGTCAATTTATTTTTTCCTTTACTATGTCATAGTTGTCAAACAAACTTGCAAGGATATATGCTAACAAACTTTTACCAACTTTTTTCCCGACTTTTTTATAAACTTGTGCGTTTTGCCTTTGCGTGATAACTTTGGATTCGCATTTGCAGCATTATAGGTGTAAATATACAAGCGCCATTACGCTGGCTGAGGGGCAACTTGTGTCTATTTTCACTACGCACCTCATGACGCTATTTTAACACGCGAGTGGCCTAACCTGCTAAGCTGAGCTGTGCTTTTCCCACACAGATTGTCTTTACTTAAACGGAAGCAGTTACCATGGCAACATATCTGTGACAGCCTCGGATATTTATGTCAGTCATGGACAGAACAATGTCCACATCGTCATACCATGAACACCACATATCCAGAATTAAATAACGCCAAGAATTACTGCCGCAATCCCAAGAACTCGGGAAAAAGACCTTGGTGTTTTACTACAGATAGAAACAAAAGATGGGAGTACTGTGATATCCCTAAGTGTTCACCAGGTACTCGTTTTCAATACACATGAGGGGAGCCCTGATGATGATCAATTGAAATCAACTATGTTGAGATCAACTATGTTGAGATCAACTATATTGAGATCAACTATGTTGAGATCAATTTTTCTTAAAGCATGTTAGCTAACTAAAATACGTGAATATCTGCCCCCAATTATCGTTCTTGCGCGCCCATGTGCCGGGCGGAAATCTATATGTTGTAATTTCTGTTTACCCCTTTACTGCATGGTCATGCTTAATACGCAACAATAATTAGTGCGAGGAAGAGATGCATGTCTGGAGGAGGTTGATCTACGGCTTGAAATACACAACGGAAGAAGTACAGAAGTTTGCATCGCAATGCCTTACTAACAATTGAAGTATGAAAAGTTGTTTGTTTTATTTAGTTCACGGTAATTATGGCAATTGGTCATTAAAAGAAAAGTGTAATGTGAGTTGCGGCGAAGGTTTTGAAACATGGCTGCGAGATTGTAAAAATCCTGAGCCAAAGTTTGGTGGAAGAAACTGTAGTAAAATCGGAGAACCAGTTGAATACAGACCGTGTAGGGCAAAACCCTGTCCAGGTAAGGAAATTACCTAGCATGCATGCAAAAAATGAGCCGCTGACATTGTTGCCAAGTGCTGTAACGCCCTGGAAATTATCTTGTTGTTTTAACATAGCTGAAACTGGACAGCTTAAGCGTAAGCAGAATTTCATTGGTTGCAATTACAACTGCAAATGAGTAGGTTGTGCCCCGGAAAATTTATAAGCTTTCGAAGTTAATAAAAGATGAAGCACTTGAAATCAACACGTGCAGAAGGTAGTTAAGACTTATGAAAATTACAGTACAGTCCAGAAATAACCTAACACTGTGCATAGTTGCGGATCGCTTTCGAACGGAATGTTATGAACAGAACGACAACACAATAATCATATCGAAAACATCTTAAGAAATGTCTGTCAGACCGAGTTAGGCCGACATTTATAAACCTCCGTCTCACCGCGGTTCGACCTTGGTCTGACCGAGTTCAACCATGATCACCGAGGTTTGACCTAGGTTAACCGCGGTTTTTTGATATTTCTGTAATTATAGCGTATAGTGGAATAAATTTTACTTATCTAAAAATGACTTTTAAGTGCTCTCGATTCGTCCCAGCGTAAAGTTCGTTTTAAATACGAACCAAAGACCATATGCATTTATACAGCAACAACAAAGAAAATGACGGGAAAATTTTTCAAACTTGTTATGACACTCATAAATGTTCACGTTATTCACTGAATTTTATATTGTGGGTAATTCTAGTCAACAGCGGTTATGGCAACTGGAGTGTCATTATTCCTTGCAATGTTTCGTGCGGTGAAGGAGTTGAAATATGGCAACGTAATTGTGATAATCAAGAACCAAATTACAGCGGCAGTAACTGCAGTGGGCAGGGAAACTCGATTGAATTAAGGAAATGCAAAAGAAAAACTTGTCACAGTAAGAATTAAACCAACTATACGTGCTGAAGAGTAACTACATGATATTGTTTTTTGCTCTCTGTGCTTCTGGCAATGAAATATTCAATTCGTTTACAATGTTCAGCTCTATCAATCAAAACCAAAAATTGTTCCACTTTAGACCGCCAGTGGAGGTCACTAATTATTGTTAATCATGTGCCAACAGAACTGGAGTAGCTTCTTTACAAAATACTTCAATTTTTAGCTGCATTACAACCCGGGAGGAAGTGCCTCATTCTAATTTTCATTTTGCAGTTGCTGGTAGTTATGGCAACTGGACAAAGGCGTCTCCCTGCAGTGTCACGTGTGGTCAAGGTGTTGAAATATGGATGCGACTGTGTAATATACCGCCTGGAGCTGATTTCAGTGAGAATTGTAGTAAGCTGGGAGCAGCTTATCGGTTTCAAGTATGTGAGATGAAACATTGCTCAGGTAACCATTATTTGTTTCAGTAAATCGCAATATTTCTCTTAAGACAAAAATATACTAACAATCTTTTTATAACATGCACAATTTCATGCGTTCCTTCCGATGAGACACGCGCGCCTCATGTAGGAGTGTCTCCAAATATACCTTTTTTGTTACGTATATATCGCCTACAACTTAATTTTTCTGGTTTCTTTTTGACAACATCACTTGTACATTTTTAGATCTTTCCAAAACCCGGACGATTTCTATTATCATTGCTACTGTTGTTTCTGTGTTTCTCGTCGTAGTTTTTGTTTTGATCGTTCGAAAACAAAAACCCAAAGAAGGTGAAATACTGATTTAATTTACTGATTCATACTGATTTAATTTACTGATTCATTCTGAACAACAACCCAGCACATTGTCGTTTCAACTGCAGGGAATGTTAATATAATAGTGCATGCATAAAATAATCGCCTTGAATTGGCTATAAGCACATTGTTCAATTATCGATTCAAATGGCATCCCCAGAAAGAAAACCAGGGGACGTGCCTCTTAGTTTTATTTTAAGCTGAGATGATCTTCACTCCGCTGAAAAAGAATGAAGTTTACGAACAGTAACGTCTAGAGCGTGGGAGAATGGGTTAGCTACCCGGGACCTGAGACCAGGGGCCAAGCAAAAACTGGACTAATGTTATGTGCGATAAAATAGTGTTACGAAAACACATTAACAAGCTAATCTCTAAGTGTCCAAAATACTAAGGAATAATATATATAATGTAGGAGCTAAAAATTTAATTATAGTCACAGACTGCATATCTAACATGGATTCACTACATTATTTACCCTCGTTTTTCATTCAACGCTCATCCTATCATGCATGTTCAGTTTCTACCCTTTAAGATAATGGCCCGCATGTAGAGCATACAGTTCCAATAGAATAAAACTCCGATGTGCCCCGAACCAAAATCTGCTAAACTTAATATTATACAAAGTAAATTGTGTTCTCTCACTTTGTATTCGATTTTACTATATTTCCTGCAGTTAGGGTCATTTTTATGTCGCTGCATATTTTGCTACAGATAATTAAGAAGAAGTCATTACATCATTGTTTTGTCCCCGCCCTACGTTCCGCGAGGTCTAGCGACGCCACTGTTCCAATCACCAAGCAGGTTGTAAACAATCAGAGAGTTAATAATCATGGTATAATTATAGCAGAAATTTTCATTCTTATAGACTCTTCACATTCAGCAACTCCGGAAAACCGTCCTCGAGAGTACGGTAATCTTACACCTGATGGAAATCCGATTCCACACTATTCACGTGGTGTTGTGCTGTGGAGAAGAGATTATGTCAACACACGTTGTTCGCAGAGCTCTTGGTATGACAGACTCCAGCTTTTTCCACCATTGGCTGTTGATTGGCTTCGAAACGCGTGGGGAAATTTTGATGAGTCTGGCAACCATGTATATGACGTCCTGGGACGTCATGTCAGAAATGTCTTCGTTCCTTACGACGATTTGTGTTTCAAAACAAATACGGTGCAAGAGGGAAATGGGACAGAACTTTACGACACTCCAGAAAGATCCTCAGCAGTCATATTACCCACAGAAATTGCTAACTATCCCACAACCCAGATTGCTTAATAATTAACATCTGTCTCTCTTCCCTAGAAGTCGTCTAGTTTTTTTTTATCGAAGAACTCTCTCTTTACAGCGTTAGTAGTTTGGTATTCATTTTTGCATTTTCCCCAAGCTTGGGAAAATTTCCAGAATTCATTTCTCATGCAGCACATCTTCAGCAACATTACCAAGCAAATTCAATGAGATTTTATTATCGTACTTCGGGTCTATTTTATGTTAAAATAAGGTTATTCATGCAACGCAACATCGCGACATGCACAGCTGGATAGAGCATCCGAAAATTAGTAAAATCAAAAACCTTTAGCAATGAAACTTTAAGAAACCTGCAAGTTTTGTATAAGTTATCGTAATAGTAAGGAAATAGAGCAAACGATCCTTACATGAGGAGAAAACGCCTCACCGATATTACGAATAACGCGTTACTGGAAAGTAATTTTGCGAAAAATAATTGGCTGATAATTCTATAACTTATTGCTGCGGAGCGAGCGAGCCTGAAGCGAGCGAGCGTAGCAGCAGTCTAATTTGTGCAGAGAGGGGGTTCTGAACTAAATTTTATTTAGCGCAAGGAATTGTGGTCGTGCGCGTTTTTATGCGTAGAAGACAAATTTTAAACTCGCTCATATCCATGTGCTTTTTCATTTCGATGGACAGGATCTTCAAATTTTTGTTAAACTTTAAAGCTTCTGTTCTATTTGACTATTCAAGGTAAGATATTTTCATCTTTTGTTCATATGTTACGTTTACAGTTGTTTACAATTTTAACTTGTATATTTATGAAACGCCAAAAGCATACACTCGATCACAGCTAGATTCATGCTGTTTATATACGCACTATATAAATTATTCTAGAATATTAGGGTGTACTATATACAATTTTCTAATTCGCTTTGTTTGAGCAGTTGAGCTGTCAGTGCTGTGAAGCAAATCAAGTCTTATACATACAGATGCCTTAAAGTCTTTTTTATCCATTGACATTTGTATTCTTTTGCTGATTTCCATATTTTGCGTCAAATGATGTTTCAAGTATGCGGCTTGTCGCTTGCGAGTCGTGTTTAATAACATGACAGAGTCGCAGATAAAATATGCAATTGATCGTCTAAATTGCCTGACTGAATCGTTCAGATTCGTGAAATGTTTGACTCATTTAAAATTAGGTTACTGTAAGCATAGGCATATGTTTTTATTCCTATTTTACAATGAGCTAAATGTTTTTGTTATTTAGTGCTTTTACCGGATCTTCACGTGGTTTCTGATTACACGTCTTCTCGAGCGCGTTCAAAGTTCAAAGTATTAAGTGATGTTTTGTTACTCTTCACATGAAGCCAAACATTTACATGGACACAACAAAGACAAATAGCATATTTAAAAAACAAATATCCATGTTACCAAAAAATGTTCTATTTTGTTAAACATGTGCTACTGGGCCTGTATTTTCGCTTTGTTGCGGGGAAAATGTCGCTACGCGCGCAAAATTCTACTTAATATTACTATTATTGTTAATACTCCTGTTGTGATTCGTGTGTTAAAATATTTTTAAAACTAGCTGCTTCTAAAGACTTTGATTAAACGAGCTGCAACTCGCAAGACAGCATTGATATAGCATATATTGACCTAAATATTGACGTCATTGACAGTGTTCTCGCTAATAGGTGTTAATTCATCAACAGCCCCAGCGAGTTAACGCTCAATAGAGGCTCGCTTTGCGTTTTTTAAGCCTGCTATTGCTATTAGTTAAAACGGATTTAGTTTACTAACATTTCATATAACAATTCACTTGGACCCTAAAATGCTCGCAGCAATCACTACCTTGCAGGTGACCTAGTTTTAGTATAAATTTCGAGGTGACTAGTGGTTTTCCTGCATTCTGATTGGTCAAAATTCACCGTCTCTGAAGTGATAGTCACTGGTCAGTGAGTGCAGATTTTTTATATAATTTTTTCAAATTAAAAATTGAAGCAATTATGAATTTTTTTGAAATTGTGTTTTTTATTATTTGTAAACACCTCGAAATTTATACTAAAACATGTATTCGCCTCAGGTTCGGTGAAATCCATTCATTGTTTTGAATCATCTTGGGAATTGAGATTTTCTTAATTTATCTGAAATAAGCTGTCATTTATAGAATTATTTTAATATCTTTGTAATTTATTATTCATGATAATTTATTAACCGTAAAGCATGAATTATTCGTGTTTGCATTTGATCCAAAACAATGCAAGCGTCGTGTCACTTCTCCTCAACTGAAGCGTTGGGAATTTATGGCAGTCTAAATTTAAGAAATAATAAGTTTATTTTTTAATTTACAAGCCTATTTGACGTTTAATTTAGCCTCTGATGTTTGAGGAGATTTGATATTTATACTGAAGTAGCCTGCTGACATACGTGATCAAAATGAAAATGAAAAACCTCCGCCGGAAATCAGAGCAAACATTTGCCGTAGAAACGCTTACAGCGGTTGAAAAGTAATTCTACAGCAGTTTATACGCATATCCAACTTTGGCTAATACGATTTGTACTTGCCGAGAGTTGGTGTAAAATAATTTATTAGCCTGGCTACATCGCTGAAAATATAACTTTGGATCTGTTTACATGGAGCCGAGTTACCCGGCTAACCGAGTTACTCGACTTGCCGGGAGAAAACGTTACGGAGTTTTACTTTATTGTGTTATATAGTGTTACACTTAAAATACACACACTGTCTAGACATTGACAGTATAATAGTATGAACAAAGCTTATGTTCTGAAAAATTAAAAACATGCAAATTTAGGGCGATTTTTACACCAGAGGGTTTGCATTAATTGACAGTACTGTAATTGTACAAAAGACCAATTGTGCAAAAATGAATATTGTGATGAACTATAAAGTTGCTCTGAGTCACTCACCAGGAAAGCTAAAAAAATTAGCTTGACAACAATGGGAATCGAACACGCGAAATTTTTTTTGCCAGTCCAATGCTCTTCCAACTGAGCTACTATTAATATTGCGTAAGACTCAGGTATATGAAATGGATATATTCATTCGCATAACCACTGCACAGAACGGACTAAATTACTTTGCAACATGGTGGACATATCGACATGCAGCTGTGTATAAACACAAGTACATGCAGGCAGGAATATCTCCGCATTCCGCATCTTATTATTTATTCGTGGAATGCGGAAACTTTGCTTTATGAAATGTGATATGAAAATATAATAATCCGAGTTATACCCAGCAACAGGCAATTTTAAAGCTATTGAAAAAAAACTATCCAGTGAATAGCGCTAACCGGCTTTCATACAACCGGCCCAAGTTGCGTAACAACGAAAAGATCCTGTGGTCCAGATTTGACAGGACGTGACATATGATATGTTATCATGGAGTAACACTACACTTGCCAACTAGAACCGCATCAGCAAACCAAGAGAAACTGATCGCAGTTTAAATTTAGGTAATTCACGAGCCTATCTGACATTTCACTTGCATGGGAATTTGCTTTAAAAACTTTGCAGATTACAGTCTTCGCCCCTGTAGTTCGAAGAGATTGAATATTTGCACATGGAAGTAGCCTCGCCGACTTGTGTCAACTATAATAATCTTTATCAAATATACGTCATTCAAGTGTAAATAAAAAAATCCCCACCGGAAATCATGCCCAATTATAGAGAGAAAACTATTGCGGTAGACGCATACAACGGTCGAAAAGTAAGCCTACAACATATTGTATAGTAGACCCAACTTGGCTGAAAAGGGTTGTACTCGCGGACTTGTTGTGAAGTTTAATTGCCTGGCTATATCGGTGAAGATAAATAAACTGATAAACGGGAACTAAATGGTTTTGATGTACGCCATGCGCCGTTGTATTATGGCAGTTGTACTGTACTGATTCTTGCAACGATCTTCAATTCAAGCATTGCAGGTAACACTTCAAATTTTGAACCATTCAAATGTTTGCATCTCTCTAACAAGCGGGCATAATTTGGATTGAGTTTCATTAGTTCAGGCTTATTGACTTTCGACATTTCAATATCAAGCTCAAATTTCTGATCTAATGATTTTATGCGGGCTGCATAAACTTCTACTCTAATGGTGGTAGATCCTAACATCATTTCAATTCGTTTTATTTTAACAGCCTGAGGCATGACTGCTTCCAGCTGCAGTATCGAGCAGTGCGTGTGTTATAATCCCATCCACGTCCACTAGCACTATTGGATAGATAATTCAATTATCCCCCCCAGCATGAGCTGTCTTCTTTATCTCATGACCATCTGATTTGGTTACACCACAATCTTCTTCCAATCATCTGGTTTCTGTGCTTCACTGACAGGATTCCTTCGAGTCCAAAGTCATGCTTCGTGAGTTGAACATAGGTCCAGTTTTCCCAACCAGAATCACCTCTACTAGGTCATCCCGTATGTTTGGTAGTTTATCCAATGCCATGGCAACAGTTCCATTCACAGCGTCCAACTTTTTCATAGTCTCAAGTGAATGTAAACAATATGGTAACTTCTTATAGAATTCATACATCCCTTCAGGACTTGATGTTGCTGTACGTGGAAGCTCAAGGATCTCTTTTACATACGTTTTTACTATCTCGCTTTCCTTGTCAAGTCTATCCTTGAGAATTGAAACCACTCTGTTGTAGCCCTCCACATTAAATGGAAGAGCCTCGATCGCACGTTTGAATTTGTCGCATAAGAACTCCCTCAAATAAGTGAGTTTTGCAACAGGGGATATATTAGTTTTGTCAATTCTATCCGAAAACTGCCCCCCAAATCTCTGCCAGTCTCTATACGATCAATTAAATACTGTGATTGTCAGTTTCCGCAGTTTTGCATTTTTGGGGTAGAAATCTCATCTGACGTCTGTTCTTTGACGGTTCGTCAATCTGCTGAGCTTGTAATTTCATCTTGCCATCGTGAAGTTCAATTTCAAAATCCATTTTCTTTTTGTGATCGCTATATTCTCGTTTCTCTCGCGTTTCATTCAACCACTGTTCCAAAATACTTATTTTCTCATCGCCCTCGTTAAGCTCTCTTTCAATTTCCTCGATCCATGCATCAGTCTCGTCGCTTCCTTGTTTGGCTGTAATTTTCTCTGCCTCGATTTTTCGTACTAGCTTGTTGGCTTCGTTTACTATCTCTCTCAATGTCTCGACATGTCTCTTAATCGCAAGCTCTTTCGCCGCCATTAATATTTTTCCGTTTTGTCGAATTTGTCCCGAGCTCCTCTGAGTTCTACAAGTTTCGTTGCTAATTCAATGTTTGAATGACATGTCAGCCTCGTACCCAGGCGCTTTATTGGGAAACATAAAGGCTGCATTCAGCGTAATATAGAGATCTGTGGCTCCTGCGCGCTCGCACATCTCAGCCACAGATCTCTATATTACGCTGAATGCAGCCTTTATGTTTTCCAATAAAGCGCCCGGGTACGAGGCTGATGACATGTTGCTTTATATCCTTGTTGTATTCGTGACATAAATCTCCATTACTCCCGTCGTCTGATGTGCCAGGTGTCCTGAATTCCCGCCTCCCAGGATTTATTCACGGCATCATCACAAATAACTTAGTTTTCTACATATTTTAGTATGCATTAGTTGCGATAGATGTTAAATAATAACATTTTAAAGCATTTAAAATTATCTGTACGTGTAAGTGCGTATAAAAAACGCGTACTAAGTGTGAAACAGCCTTTAGGCTACGTTTACACTCTAGAGGTTTTCCTTAGTCTTTATTTAGTACATATCTATGCTACACGCCTAGTCAGCTCGTTCCCAAAGACCCTAAATCCCTCGTGGTCATCCGGGTTACTAGATTAACCACGTGACTTAAATACGTACAATATCAGTACACTACATACACTACTCCGTATCGGTCTGAAAACGGTGCAAAAAAGTATCAAAACGGAGCTATACGTTTACACAGCACCGGAGCGGATTTATGAACCTTGTGTTCGTTTCATCGTTTGCATAATTATATATGTATTATATATTCCTTCCCCCCCAAAATAATTCAGTTTATGTTCCATATGCCAGATAAAAGAATAGGGCGTACTTGAATTAGTGCAAATGCTAAGTTTGGCTGCGAAATTGGGTAAAATACGGATAATATAGTCATGCTAGATTGGCATATTTTGTATTACGCGCGGAAATTGTGTAACTAATTTGTATGCTTTTGTTTTACGGCCGGAAGTTTGTAACTAATGCAACATGGTTTGTAACCCGTTTGCACATGATAGCAGCAGGTTAGAGTGTATATGTAATCGTCGGCAAGTATAAACTGGCTCTCTTTCGATAAAACTGGTCCGAGAAACAGGTAAAAGTAATTTGCAAACCGTATTACAAACCCTGTTACGTTAGTTACAAACTTCCAGCCGTAATACAAACGCATACAAAAATCGAAAATTTCTCATTCCTTGCTTTAAAGATTCCGATTTTTCTCGTTCCTTGTTTTAAAGATTACTGCTTTTCCCATTCCTTGTTTTTAAGGTTCCGGCTTTTCTCATTCTTTGTTTTAACTGAAGATTCCGCTTTTCTCATTCCCTGTTTTAAAGCTTCCGGCTTTTCTCGTTCCTTGTTTTAAAGATTCTGGCTTTTCTCGTTCCTTGTTTTAAAGACTCCGTTTTTTCATTCCTCTTTTAAAGATTCCGCCTTTGTCATTCCTTGTTTAAAGTTTCAGCTTTTCCATTCCTTGTTGTTATCGCTCCCCATTCACTTCCCCGTTTCCTTCCTCGATTCCCTGTTCCTGGTTTTAAAGATAGCCCATGTTATAAATAGTGTTGAAAGCTGCCTTTGCATGATATGCACATCACCAAGAGAATCCGTGATTGCAAAAATAAAAACTAGCATATCTAACATGGTTCCATAAACCGTTACTATAGATTACATCTTCATACCCATGATTTTGCCAGAATTCTTTTTCTTATAAAATGCTTATTAGTACTTTTACCTGGCTTGAATTGCAGAGAAATCATGCAATACGGTTATGTTTCTATATCTACTAATTGTAGTTCAACATCGTTTGTCAGGAAGAGCGTTAGCAACAGGTAAAAGTTATTTTGTTTTTTCCAACTTACTGTAAGTGCATGTTAATGGTAACATAAACGTAAAGGCCAGTTTTATTGAAAGAAGCCAGTTTATACTAGTCTTGTTGACATTTCTACACCCTAACTGCTGATTATGCAAACCGTGTTATAAGTCAGAGCTATATGTCCAAGAAAAATATTCAAAGATCGATTGTTTGTTGTTTAGAACGTGTATTCCTGCCGAAGCTGAGCCGATTACTCAATTCAAGTTCCTGTTACCCTTTGGTAAATTTTACCCGGCCTTATTGTGAAAATCATGGTATCTTGTTACCAAAGTACGTCTATAGTACTCCGTCTTATCAAATTCGTAAAAACGACAATATTATTGGGCTTGAAGATGATATCAAAAGGCTGGGCGACCTCAAAATTAGAATTTTTCTTAATATCAATATCAACGAAATACGAAAATGTACGTCCTTAGTGTAATCTATTGTCATTTCAATTTTCCGATTTGTGACCGAACGCAGAGCGCAATATCAAGAGCAGAAAGTTTGCCGCGAATCGTATAATGCTGCTAACATTTATGTCATGAAATAGCGGAAAAAATTATAACATATGAGATAATTCGCTCACCGAAAAAGAAGAAACTGCTCCGGGGGGAGCTATAACCATACAGGAATGCTGGTGACTCCCCAGAATGCCTGTACGAAGATTTTGAAAACTTAACAGGTAATTTATATTGTACAGTGCACGTCATTATAAAGTGTTTGATTATTTACGTGAATTCTAAAACGTAACTCTTTGAAATACGAAGTTACATAGGCGCGTAAAGTAAGAAAAACCAATCAATTTTGTGCTTTAAAACTTTTATCTTTTTCCTTTCTTCTTTATTTTGTTCAACTCAACGAAAATATTTTTCTGCATGATTTTTCTCTAGTCAGAAGCTATAGCTTCATGAGTAAATCTCACTCATTATTGAGTATTTGCTAATATTACGCAAATATTTGAGTTAAATATACTCACTGCTTGAGTAAGATGAATTTTACTCCTTTATTTGAGTAAGAATAACTCAAAAATTCGACTTATCTTGTTGGAGTAATTTCTACTCATTATAAGGAGTAGCGGCGAAACTTTTGTTTACTCAAAGTTTAAGTAAAATATCTTTACTCAATATTGCGCGTAAAAAGGATTTTTTTACTCTTCTAATGAGTAAGAAAGATTGATGCGGCTCAATTTTCGTGTAATTTGTACGCGAGAAATTTTTCGGCAATTTGTCAACATGACCTGAATCTGAACACGTGGTATTGTTATTCAAAGATGGCGAACAAATCAGAGGTGAGTTCATGAATTATTAATCTTTTCTCTTATTATGGCGTCCATTATAGTCTTTTGGTTTTTTTATAGTCAAACGAAGAGTGTTTACTAAACGTTGAAGACGCCAACGTACAAGGTCAGCAGCTGTTTCATTTTTTAGGGGAAGAATTTCAGCCAACTCATTTTCCAGGCCTAGGCCAGGCTCAGGCTGTAATGTAATTCTGAATTATCAAGCGCTTCCAGTTAAGGAAGCAACCCATATATATGTTTTTAATATATATGGGTTGCTTAAGCTTATAAAATATATTTAATTAAAAAACCAAACTTCAGACAATGACAATGTATTATTAAAGTTAATATAAAATTTTCTTAAATACTCCTGAGCATGAGCTCATCTGAACTGAATGATTGCAAATATTTCAGAAGCAAATGCATCTTTAAAGAGGAAACATGTGAGCAGAAAAAGAAAAAAAGAAAAAAAAACAAACAAAAGGAGGAGAGTGGTTGAGGAATATGATCAGATGGATGGGTATGACACAAGTGACACCGTTGCTAATGAGACTGAGACTGAAGAAAAGAAAATTGACATTGTCAGTGCAATAGAATCAATTAAGATCCAAGACTGGAGCGTACATATGCAACAGCAGGTTTATGTCAGGAGTATGTAAACAAATTAACACCAAAATTAAAAGAAAAGTATTAAAAATTATCTCATGCTATAGTATTTGCGCTTGCTAAACATCAAAAGATACTGTTCAGCTGATTTGATGTGTCTACTTGTGTGTGTGCCCTATCAGTCTTCTATAAATTTACCTTGTCTGGGGATGGTAGAGGGTTAGATGTTCTTACTGAATGGAATAATATTCAATACACAATTTGGTCATGCATGGAATTTTTCTTTTTAGGTTGCACTTTTAACACATTAACAAATTTGAATATATGCATATTTACACAATTGTTCTAAATCCAGTTCCTAAATTACTGTAAGATGTCTACCCTATAACGCAAGATGACAAAACATTTTCTTGCATTTTTTCCAAAACCTTGATGAATACCGAGGGGATGATAATCTTGTAAATCTCTCTGTTTTATAAATTGTTTATCATATAGTGGCAAAACCTCATAGGCATTCAAATGTTCTGAATATTCCATCAGCTGGAGACAATGGTACTGGAATATTACTGTCCCCAAAACAAAAAAACCTTATCAATCCTACCAAAGGATGGTTGTCCATAATTTAAAGAAGTGACTATGACACATCCTTCAGCATAGCGGGTGCCAAATACCTTGACCCATGATAAGCTGCAAGAAAGTTGGAATACTAATGTGTTAAAAAGTGCATCTAAGGACAATTCAACTGTTTGGGTATAAAATGCAAACTAAAATACTTACACAATAACTTTGGTTTGGCCAGTAATTTCATTGTCAACTGCTCCCATATACTCCTCGATACCCACATTAGAAACAGTTGTTTCAGCTCCTAAAAAGTTCATTATAATTTTTTAAAAAATTATGTAATCAAAGCTTTGATTATTACCTATAGTGCTAATTAAGTTATTGTTACAAACCTGGTCCTTGCTCGAAGGAAGCTTTGTGGAAGCTTCCACCAGACTGTTGCATTAAATATGCTTGTAAAGCTTTTATTATAATAAAGCCTATTAAATGTTACAAACCGTCTTTTAAAAATGAAAAAGTCTGTGGACGAATCTTTTCTTATATGTACAGCCGATTTTTAATTTTCACTTATTGCCCTGTTATACGGCGCAAACCCTCTTGAAACTTGCAATGCAGTTCAACTTTTGAGGGATGTAAACTAATGAAGCGTCTACATCATTCAAAAGTAGAATTGCGTTTCAAATTGCAAAAAAAAATGCACCATGTAACAGGGCCTTTGAAACTTAATCATTTTCAAGCCAGAGCAAAATTTTACTTACTCAATGACTCTGCGGCAAGTATTCTCAATTTTTCTAAATTGCACATTCCGTAGATACACCCAGAGAAGTTGAATCGACAGGAAATTTGGGTAAGTGTGGAAAAATGTATGCAATAATTATTTTCATTTTACTTCACCAAATGGAACAGATATAATTTAATATTTCGTTTCCCAAACGCGGAAATTTCTGACGTCTGTGCAGAAGTACTATAAGCACAATACAACACATTATTAGCGGAATGTTGTTCCAAGAGCACTTCTGGTATATTATATTCTACGCTGAATCATTAGCAGATTTTCACTTTGCTTAAAGACGCCAGTTGTTTTAGCTTATTAAACTCATTGTTAACATAAAATACCTGATTCTAATTTGATGCCATCCATTCTTATACAGTGGTGTTAGTACACTTTTTGTTGATCTGTACCGTTCAAGCGGCTTGTGCCCAATTGAACCTGAACACTTTTGCATATGTGTATCCTTTTACCCAGATTGCCTTTACTTAAGTGGAAGCAATTACAATGGCAATATATCAGTGACAGCCTCCGGTATTCCGTGTCAGTCATGGACGGAACAATGTCCACATCGTCATACCATGAACACCACATATCCAGAATTAAATAACGCCAAGAATTACTGTCGTAATCCCAAAAACTCAGGACAACGACCTTGGTGTTTTACTGCCGAGAGGAGCAAGAGATGGGAGTACTGTGATATCCCTATGTGTACACCAGGTATTGTGGGTTTGTTTCACGTGTTTGAAGAAGTTCATCTTCGTTTCCCATGCACATGTGAAAGGTGGAAATATAGATGTGTTGTTTTCAATACACTTTTTTTTCAACGTACGGATTAAACTTCCGAAAGAAGTAGCGGTATAACAATGTGTCACGTTTTTTTTTTAGGGTATAAAAAGTTGTTCGTATTCAACACCAATACGTTATCTTATTTTGTTTAGTTGACGGTAATTTTGGCAACCTGTCATTAATAAATAGTTGTAATGTAAGTTGCGGTGAAGGTTTTGAAACATGGCAACGAGTTTGCAACAATCCTGAGCCAAAGTTTGATGGAAAAAACTGTAGTAACATCGGAGAATCAATCGTATACAGGCCTTGTTTAGCTAAACCCTGCCCAGGTAAGGGAATTATTTGTCGAAGCTTACATTTTCTCATTTGAGTAAATATTACTCAATTTTTGAGTAATTTTACCGATTACTCAATAATTTGAGTAAATTTTACTCCTCATTCGGTAAAGAGAAACTTTACTCTCTCTTGCGAGTAAACGAAAACTCAAAATGTTGAGTAAAGTGTTAGAATAACTTTTACTCGAATTTTTGCGCACTATTTACTCAACTATGAGTAAATTGATGAGTAAAATTTACTCAAGCTTACGCAGGAGATTCAAATACTCACAAAATTTGACTGTAAATGTAAAGTTTTACTCTTTTCCTGAGTAAACGCAGCATTTACTCAAATCATGAGTTATGCACAATGTGTAAAATTTACTTAAAATTTTGAGTAAATACAACGTGTATCAGTTACTAAAAAAATTACGTATTCTTTACTGAAAAAAAAGAGTAAATTTTACTTTTACTACGAAACTATGCCGGCCACATATGTCTTTCCAGTATTTGGGCCTTATTTTGACGGCTAAGCTATTAACAAGGCCAAGAGCATTATTGGTTCATACATTAATATCACATCATACCACAAATTAAATATATATATATATATATATATATATATATATATATATATATATATATATATATATATATATTTAATATACAATCTTCGTGCACTGGCCTAAATCTAAGCACGCGATTGGTCAAAATCGATCACGTGGTTTCTTGTTGCCTAGCGACAGATCATGGAAATCCTAATTTATTGGCAATAACCCATGAAAATCGTGGTTTATTCGCAATAACCCACGATAATCGTGGTTTATTGATTTTATTCAAAAATGGCAGCCCGCATGAACGAAGCTGGTTCAACGCCAAGATTTTCCGAAGTGAACGACGAAGAAATTCAGCAAATTATCGATGATTCTATACCGGGTAGTACCAAAAATCAAACAAAATGGAGTGTATCCATCTTAAAAGGTAATTGTAAAACACAATAATTGCTTCTTGTTTGCCCTGAACATTTTGACAATTCACATTTACGTTTGTGAAAAACTTATTTATGGCGTTTTTTATTTGAAGAATGGCTGCAAGTAAGATATCCTACTGAGTACTTGGAATGTTTAAGCAAAGAGACACTGGCAGAACGACTAACCAAGTTTTATCAAGAACTGAAACAAAGCGACGTGAAAGACTATAGTCGTTCTGCTCATGTCGCTGTGAGAGCAGGAATCAACCGATATTTATCCTCAGAGACAGTAGGAAAGACGTTTTCAATCATAACTGATCCTGTTTTTAAAACAGCAAATAGGTCTTTAAACGCAAAGCTAAAGAAAATTAAGGAAAATGGGTCGTCCAAAGTGAAACATCACTCAAGTATTCAACCCGAAGACATACAAAAATGTTATGACAGTGGTGTTTTTGGGAGCGATTCGCCTATATCATTATTGCGAGTGAACTGGTTCAACATAAACTTATATTTCTGTAGAAGAGGTCGAGAAAACCAAAGGAAATTGACAAAGAACAGTTTTGTTTTCAAAACAGACGCCAATGATTTAGAGTATGTTGAAATGGCCGAGCAAGAGAAAACTAAGAATCATCCTGGCGGTCTTAGCGACAAGGCGGACGAAGCGGATCCTAAAATGTTTTCGACTGGTGACAGCCATTGTCCTGCTCAATATTTAAAGAGGTTGATTGAGGTACTTAATCCAGGAGAAGAAGCACTTTTTCAGAGGCCAAAGAGAACATGCATTTTCTGCTAGTGAAAAAATCTGGTTTGATCGAGCGCCTCTTGGCGTCAACACGTTAGGAAATATGATGAAAGAAATATCAACAGCAGCAAAACTGAGCCAGGTGTACACAAACCATTGTATAAGGGCAACTTCAGTCACTTTACTGGATAGCGCTGGAATTTCTGTCCATCGTATAATGCAAGTTTCCGGCCACAGAAACGAGGGAAGTATTAAGGTGTACTGCGAAAGACAAACGATACAACAACAAAAGGAATGCTCGGAAATTTTGGGCAATCCAGTGGCTTCACTTGGCTCAAAGGACCAACCATTGCAGCAAAACGAATGCAACAACAGAAATGAAATAAGTTACAAAAACACCTTTGCCAAGACAACATCCCCCAAATTTGTTGACTTTGGAAGTGCAAGTTTCGAAAACTGCAATTTTACGTTTACTTACAATGGCAAGCAGGGACAAAAAAAATGACATGCTGCACTAAGCGGGCTTCCCGCGGTGAGTCCCCCATTGGTAAAACTTTGTTTTGTTAATTCTTAGCTTATTTAAAATGTTTTATTGTGTTAAACTATGCTTGTCAGATAATTTGATAATAAATTGTTGAACTGTTTGAATTCCCTTCCTTTTATATTTGTCTTTTCAATCTCAATTTCTCATATAAATATAGTCCTTGCCTTGGATCATCATTGCAGCAATCAGTGAACTCAGATTGTATATTAAAAGTGTTAGAGACTTTATGTTCGTGTTTTGTTTACAAATAACGCACTTGCTGATCATACAATGAACTCAAAATTTCTCGTTCATTGTATGGCCAGTGCGTGCGTTTATTTGTAAAAAAACACTCACAACAGTCTCTAACCCTTAAATATATATATATATATATATTATATAATATATATATATATATTATATATAAGCCAATCATGTTTTGCGTTTCCTTTGGAATGCTAATAAAAGCGGACGGATATAATTAATTATAATGAGCCAATCATGTTTTGCGTTTTCTTTGGAGGTAAATGCTAATACAAGCGGACGGATATAATTAATTATAATGAGCCAATCATGTTTTGCGTTTCCTTTGGCGCGACGATTCAAATGACTCCAATTTCATTGTCAGTTTCAAATCACCATGAGCTTCAACGTGCGGTATAAGCTTGTCTTTGTGTCTTGGTATATTCAAATATTTCTTTGCTCTATAATTCCGGTGAACAGAGAAAAAATGTTCACAGTGGAGGACGTTCACTCATGGCTTATTGCAGTTGGCTTTGGCCAGACGTTTAAGGTATGTTTTTGAGCTTGTTGTTTATAGCGGGAGATGTGGTGTGCAAATACTCTGTAATTTATTCTTCTTGTCAAATCCAAAGTACAATCGCGCACAAAATGTAGATATTTCAAATTTCATCACTACATAAAAGATAGCATATGCCTGCACTACCCTTAATTGTAAATCCCCGAAAAATCGTCATGACATTGGCGGGATTTAGCCTTTAGGGACATTGCATATAGATACGACAGAACGTAAATGTTGGACACCATAATTGTTTAATGGTTTCTATGAGAATTTCGAGTGCGGCTTATTTGGGGCAAACAACTCTGGAGCCTTGTCTTATTTTCGCTCGTGAGACTTAGGCAGCTTATATACTGTTTATACAGGGCCGGATTAACCTATCGCGGGGCCCGTAGCAT